CCCTCTCTATGGCTACTATAATTCACAACTGTTCAAAATTTATTTGAGGAGCTCTAGAGATAGGAAGCCACAACCAAGGCAGCTCATTCCGTGCTGAAAAACTCATAAAATTATATTGGTTCATATATTTAGTTGGTGTACTTTAGGAGTTACTCGATGAGATTAATTCCTATAAATTAAAGTCAGCAATCACTGCTTATGTACTACTATCTTCTGACTGAGTATCCCCTGTTACTTCAACTATCCCACATGCAGATTCCTTTTCACCTCTGAGTATTTAAGTATTTCCTTTTCTTACCTTTAGATACGCTTGGGCATTCCCCTTTACCTGGCTGACATCTCTCAGGAACATGTTGAATTTCACTTTATAAAGGGGATACTTTTTAGTAGTGAGTATTTCCATCAGTACCAAGAACAACCAGTGGGTGTCACTGTTCTAACACAGACAGATACTTACTGGTTTGCGGTCCTACAGTGATCAACAATATCCCTGCAGAAACCATAAATCTCCTCATCGTGAAGAGCACAGGCAGTGGGCTGGATGAATTAAGGGTCCTTTTATTCCACCCACACAAGCTACTGCACATTTGGACAGATTTATGATGCCTTTTTTTCCTCCTCGCTATTCTACTTCAGTTTTGTGAGAACAAAATTTATTTTCCTTTCCCTTCAAAATAAAAGACTGGTCGTTTTCCCCAAAATGCTGCTACCACTCCATTATTTTTATGATCATAAACAATTGTCTCATGTCTACTGATAAATACTATTTCTGACTTTATTTCAATCATTTATTAGATTGATTATATGTATTAGGGAAAAGTAATAATTCTGAGTATACATTTGTACCAGGATTTCTGCTAGTCACTCCATGTCTATTATTTCTTTTAACGCCACCACAATGCAAGGAAGGGGTCATTGCACATGCCATTGGGTAGTTGTGAAAAAGAGACTGAGACATAAATAACTTGACTCAGAGTGATGAAGTGAGTAACACATCTGACATTACAAGTCAAGACAGCCTGACACCAGTCCCCTATTTTTTCCACTAAACCCTCCTGCCCTCAGACAATACATGCAAAACCAGGAAACTTAGAAATTAATATCTCAATCCTTGAACATGTTGGCATTTTAATGGCCTCTGTTGATGTCACCTCTGTCTTCCCTGCCAGAATTCTGAAACAATTGAGAAATAGAGCACTAGAGACTGACAGATGGATATCAAAAAGTCAGATATATAATTTACGAAAGCTAGGAGACTGGGTCTTTGATGTTTGACCAAATGATATGCCCCAATTTCCTCTCCTTCTGCCCCTGAGACCTATCCATCAAGTAACTGACATGGCTAAGAAACCTCAGGCAACTCCCATAAGTGTCAGATACCAGATCTGGTGGCAGGAGAGAGGGCAACAGAATAGAATGTAGAACAGGGGAGAAACTGCTGAAACCAAGCATTACTAGCTCCTTTTTCTCCCAAACAAACTTGAAAATCACATAACCCAAATAACTGAAAATTTCCCCAGGGGAAAGGAGGCCAGAAGTGTACTCCACCGAAGTCTCTACACATGGCAACAGGATGGGGGGGCGCATATGGAAAAATGGTTCCCTGAGAGAGATGTGTTTATATCTGTCATGCCAAGCAAATTATTTTAGGCTTTGCAGCACTTGTTGTCATATAATAATTTCAGGGATTTACTCTGAGTGAAATAGGGGTTCATTGAGTGAAGACTTTCAAGCAAAGGAGTTCCATTAGCTAGATTTCATTTTAAATTCATCTGCCTATGTCCATTTACACTTAAACCCAAACCTACCTTCAGCTGAGATGGGGAAATTATGGCTGAATATGGTCTGAGAGCAAATATCAGAAAGTTCATTTATGAATGTTGATTTTGAACATGATTCTTTCAGATCAAATGGAATGTGAAGAAAGATCTGTGATCTATGCCTGGAATCAAGGAGAGATATCTGGCCTGGAAATGTGCATTTAGGAGGTGTACACATATAGGTCATATTTAAAACCGTGAGACAGGATGAGATCACCAAGAGCAGCGAATAAAGATAAAGACGAGAAGGGTACAGAGCTTGGCCCATGGGCCTATCCAGAGTTAACAGGCAAGAGGAATGCACAGAGGTGCCCGAGAGGGAGCACGTAGTGGGGCTGGAAAAGAGCCAAGACAATGCGAAGCCCAGGAAGCCCCATGAGAAAAGTGCATCAGGGAGGAAGGCACAAGAAATTATGCCAAAAATGCCCCTAATATATCAATAAGCTAGAAGCTGAGAATTGATCATTGACTATGACAATGAAGAAGTTGCTGGGAACTTTGGTAATCTTAGTGGAGTTACAGGACAAAAAACATTGAAGAAGATTAAAGAAGTAGAATTAGAAATAGCAACTATTGATTTGCCTTTTTAGGAATTTTGGAGCCAACGAGAACACTTAAAGTGAGAAGAAGCCACCAGGAGAATTAAAGTCGAGAGAGGTTGCTTTTAAATTTTATTTCTGTGTTTTCAGAAATTGGAACAGCATGCTTGTACATTGATGGGATTTACCAACTAGAGGGCGGAGCAGAGGCTGGATTTGATCCTGTAAAGAGAGAGCACAGGGGAATTACTGGGCTGATATTCTGAGGTAGCTGAGAGGGATGGTAAATACTGCATAACTAGAGGAGATGGGCTTAGTTGGAAGTGCAGTTAGTTTATCTGATTATCAAGCATGAAGTCAGAATATGAGTCCAGATGCTGGTGGGTGGGTGGAAGCTGTGGAAGTTTTCTTCAGATTGCTTTCAACTTCTCAGTGAAATCGGAAGCAAAATCATCAGCTATGACTGAGGATTGGAGAGGAGGTGCTGGAAGGCAGTGTGAAGTGATAGAATAAAATATGAAATAGTCTTGTAGGAGAATGGGGAAATACAAGATAACCAGGGAAATCTATTTTGACTATTTGACAATGTTAAGCACCCACTTGAAGTCATTGTTATGAACTTGAAGCAGATCAGTTCCCATTTTGGCATGTTTTACCTTCAGTTTGGTTTAACTATCTGGGATAATGTGTGGACTAGATGTGAACACACATACACTTCATATTTAAAAAGGCATTTTTGGATCTCCTCTATTCAAAAGTATTTTTAATAAAACTTACGATCATGTTACAGCTCTACCAGAGATGTTTTTAATTTAATCTTTATTATATTTTCCATTACCACTTACCCCTTATACTCCTTCCCCCTGCAATCATCACACTGTTGTCCATGTCCATGAGTTCTTTTTTTATTTTTACTCAATCCCTCAAACCCCAGCCCACCCCCACAGCTGTCATCCTGCTCTCTATCTATGAGTCTGTCCTCACTTTCCTTGTTAGTTCAGTTTGTTCATTCGATTCCACATATGAGTGAAATTGCATGGTATGTGCCTGTCTCTGACTGACTTATTTCACTTAGCTTAATGTTCTCCAGGTCCATCCATACTGTCGCAAAAGGTAACATTTTCTTTTTGTAACCGAGTAGTATTCCATTGTGTAAATGTCCCATAGTTGATATGTTTAAAAATAAGGATTGAAAGGTTTGATACCATGTTTCTGAGGCAATTACTAACATTTTGCTTTCTTTTGGCTTTTTCATCATGTTAAATTGATTCTGATTTTAAGAACAAACAAAAATATGAACAAAAAACAGCATAGTGAACTAACATAACCAAGTAGATAAAAATTTCATTTAATATTTTTAACAATCAATCCCATCCCCCTCATTACTTACAGGACAACTAAAGCCCAAAGGACTGACTGGTCTATGGGACACAAGATTCTGTACAGTTCTACACAAAGAATTTTCTGCTTAAACTTTATCTTATTTGTTTTCTTTAGAGCCAGATCACAGATCGGATTCTGCCTTATGTTTTCATAAGACCAGGGGGTATTACGCGTTCAGATTTTGGCAGTCATAAAGGAACAGCTAGGAGCTTTCATTATAGATATATTTCTGCAGAACAGGTGTGTAGAAATTTTGTGCTAATTCCCAGCAGCTGTTCCACCTATCTTCTGTGATATACTCAAGAGCTCAGTTGAAGCAAAAGTAACTTATCCTTGCATAATACCCCTCATATTGTTATTAGGAAAATGGCACTACTGTTGCCTGGTTACCTTTTTATTTTCTTAATTACTTCTTCATGATGTGAAGTTTCATAAGATACACCAACCCAGTAGAAAATGCGGAATTACCATTGGTTACCCTTGTGATTAGCTTTCTAATTTCATTTGGAATTTTAAAAATCTAGATACATGGAGTCTTGTCCTACCTTATTCATAGCCTTGTAGCCTTGGTGAAGTTGCTGAACATTCTGGGCCTCTGGTTTCTTAACCCAGTAAATTATATTTTATTAGGTTTCTTTGGAGCATTGGAAACATTTCTGTAGGACTGCTTATTTAAAAGGAATTATTATTTCTAAATGGAGGTGTTACTTAGAAAATTGCCTTTGAAGGTAATCTTGGAGCTGTATCTTAAAAGAGAAATAGATTTTCCATTGACCTGGTGAGTAGGCAAGGCATTCTAGGGACAAAAACCAAATTGACGGAAATTCCAGAGGCGAGGAGGTGGAGGTTCAGGGAATTCTGGTGATTCATCATGGACAGAAAAAAGGACCGGGAGTGAGTGAAGGAAAACATGCAGCTTTTAAGGCTGGGTGGGAAGAATATCAGAAAAGTGTGTTACTCACCCAGGGAAAATGTAACTGGAAAATCTAACCATTCTAAACTCTTTCAAAGATGACAGCTAAATCAGCTTGCATAATAGCAAACAGAACCTACCCACCTGCTTAGTTTCTAATGCAATTAACTGAAATTTGTGTCCTCCTACATACTTTTTCATAACTAATTTGACCTATACCACAGAGTAGTTTTACAGCAGCTATAGTCAACAACAGAAGTTATTCTTAACAATAATTTTCTACTGTCTTTCTGGTCTACTGAGTTTCTAAGCAATTTTTTCTTGTCCTTTTGTTCCCTCACACAGGCTTGCAAAAATGCTCATCTCATCGTGGGCTTGAGAACAGCGTGTGGGCTGCCAATGGCATGTATAATGAAGGTACGGTTGAGGATGGGGTTTCAGGCAATCCCACCACCTTTGCTCTTTAGACTTCGGCATCTTTGTAGGCTGTGAAAATTTAACACAGATCTGCAGTATCATAGACATATTATTAACAACAACGTGCCTCATCATGAAGCTTGCAAAGCACATTCCCATCTCTAACTTAGCTCTACTCTAAGGTTCCAATGAAATTGCTTTTACTTACAAATGTCTAATACAAGATTTTACATGCAAAAATCTTTGCACCACTTGTTTTTGAGAAATGTATTAACATTATGAAATAATAACTTGGTAATCTCATAGTAAGTATTAATAAATTAATCAGCAAAAGATCACTAAGAAAATCATTTAATACACACTTCCCCATAACTTTTAAGATATTTAATATAGATTTTATATGGTAACAGTTTAATTTATATAGATATGAATATACACACATGCATATATAAAACAGAAAAATGCCTTAAAAACCCACACACTAGATGAAATCAGATAAAATCAAAACATACTTATCAATCAACTCCTTCCTGAGGCCCAGTCCTCAAGAGAACAAGGCTATTGTTTAACCAATTGATTGGTTAATAAATTAAAGTGTTAAGGTTAGACAGTGAATATTTCATTCAGAAGATGGATAGTTCAAGTAAGGAAACATAAAAACGGAGAAGCAAACATTGACAATACTTGTTAGTTAACTTTTCGTGGAAGAATTTACTTTGGCCCACAAGATTCCCTGTCCCAACACCACACTGAGATGAGGACATTGAGCCTTCACAGCCAATTGCTATTAACCTTTCACATCATTACCTTGCCTTGGTTATAGGTGTGACAGAATCTATTTTCCAGTGTGTATGATATGGAAGTGTGCGTTTTGAGAAATTAATGTACTGGATATATGCTGTGATCACTAGTTCACAAAGCAGTATTATTTTCCCTAACATAGACATAATTTTATTAGCATTTTATTGGTATTATTTTATTCCAGGTTTATTGAGATATTTTTCACATATAACATGTAAGTTTAAGATATACAATCTGATGACTTAATATGTATTAAGCTATATGTATTCAATAAGCTGTATCATAAGGTTTTCATTCATGCCTCCATTCCCTCACATAATTCCCTTGTTAGCGGTGATAACTATTCAGATTTACTCTCCTAACAACTTTCAAGTATATAATACAGTTTTGTTTGTTATAGTCACCATACTGTGCTGTAGGTCCCCAGAACTCATTCATCTTTATTTGGAAGTTGTACCCTTTGACCAGTATCTCTCCATTTCCTCCACCATCAGACCCTGGTAACCACCATTTTACTCCCTGTTTCTACTGAGTTTGGCTTATTAAGAGTCCACATGTAGGTGAGAACATAATTTGTCTCTCTCTAACTCATTTCACTTAGCATAATGCCCTCAAGGTCCAGCCATGTTCTCACAATGGGCAGGATTTTCTTCTTTTTACGATTGAATAATATTTTACTGTATATATGTATATCATACTTTTTTATCCATTCTTCTACTGATGGAGACTTGTGTTTCCATATCTTGGCTATTGTGAACTATGCTGCACTGAACATGGGGTTTAGGTATCCCTTTGATAAGCTGTTTTTATTTCCTTTAAATATATATCCAAAAGCAGGAATATTGGATCATATGGTAGTTCTATTTTCTTTTTTAAGTTTTGAAGAATCTCCAGACTGTTTTCAATAGTAATTGTGCCAATTTACATTCCCACCAACAGGGCACAAGAGTTCTCTTTTTCTCCATAGTCTCTCAAACACTTGTCTCTTGTTTTTTGTTTTGTTTTGTTTTGTTTCTGCATTTTAATAGCCATTCAAACAGCTGTGAGGTAATATCTCATTATGCTCAGTGTGATTTTGATTTCCATTTCCCTGATAACTAGTAATGTTGCATACCTTTTATGAACCTGTTGGCCACTTGTAAGTCTTTGGAAAAATGTTTATTCTGTTGTTTGCCCATATTGTAATTGTTCATTTTTCTATTGAGTTGTATTAGTTTTTGTATATATTTTTTATTTTAACCCTTTGTCAGATAGATTGTGTTACAATATTGTCTCCGATTTTGCAGGTTATCTTTGTATTTTACTGATTTCTTTGCTGTGCAGAAGTTTCCTGGTTTGATGAAGTTCCACTTGTTTATTTTTGCTTTTCTTGCTTTCACTTGTGTCAAATTTTTGTGTTATCCAAAAAATCATTGTCAAGATGAATGTCAAGATGTTCTTTATGTTTTTTTCTGGTTGTTTTCCATGCTCAAGACTTACATTTACGTCTTTAATTCATTTTGAATACTTTTTGTAGGTGGCATAAGATAGGGACCCATTTCACTTTTACACGTGGCAACAGCAGGCCAGCTTTTCTCTGGCATGAAGTTTGCTATGATCTTCCTTCTTTACTGTTGAACACTACTTACTGTTTTGCCTCTAGATGGCTTTCTTCTATTAAGTTTCTGCAGACCCAAAGAAAAGATTATGGAATTAAAATTAGCAAGGAGAAATGGTAAGTCAATGAAGAATCACATGAATAAAAACAGGCTCATGGATATTATTAATGACAATAAGAATATTAGGAAGAACTGGTATTTCGTGATTTATTTTATGTTCCAAGTGCTTCACTGAGATTTTTGTGTGGGTTCACTGATTCCTCCCAGCAACTGTATGAGGCCAAGACTACTATCATATACAGGTAAAGTAAATGAAGATTATATATGTGGTATGTGATGTCACTTGTCTGTAGTCTCACCACTTCCGCCCTCATAAGGGCCTGAACCAGGACTTGAAACCAGGCCTGTCTCCTGAAGAGACAGAGCTGTTGACCATTCACAGATATTGGTTTGATCCTAAAAACTAGTAGCACACAAAATTTCTACCTACTATAGAAATCAGAATAGAAGCATTGTAATTATTAGGTGTTATATGAGATAGGCTGTTAGAGGGTCCATCCACATTCAAGGCCAGGTTCGGTGACTCTAAAATTAGTCCTCTTCCCAAAATGCAGGCTATTTGAACATATTGTATGAAACATCATAGACTTATAACTAAGGCTCAGAGAAATAAAATATATTCAAGCACATCCCTTAAGAAGAAACAGAGCATAAATTTTAACTGAGATCTTCTGAGGTGAAGCTGCCTACTTTCCTAGCTCTCTCCCTATTTGGAAACCAAAGACCAAGCATTATATTAAACATAGCAATCACCACACTCAAGGTACAATTTGGTGATACATCAGTTGAAAAAAAAAGAAGAAAACCTTAGAATAGGACTAATAGTTGGGGAGACACAAGTAACTGGCATAAGATAATCAGAGAACAACTCATGATTCTATATAATTAAGTGCAGAATCACTAAGTAAGGATGAAGAAGCTCAGAAGAGACTTTGTGTGAACTGGTATGTTCAGGGAAGAGGTCACACGTTAACTAAGCCTCAGAGAACTTGGATGAAGAACAGGTGGAGGACATTCTTAAAAGAAGTAACAGAGAGAAGTATTTTTGGTTATTTTTGTGAGGCAGGTAAAGGAATATATTCTGACCCAAGCTGAGAGAGTGTACTGGGGAATGGAAAGAAAGCTGGTGTGGATAAATTAGTTTAAGCCAGATTATGAGAAATTTTTAATGTCTAATTTTGTTTTAGCCATATGTCTACATAACTTTATAAATGCATAGATGTGTCAATATACTTGCTTTTGAATGTATAATTTTATTTTTCCCCCTTTTGGCTTCCTTTTCTTCCTTTCCTTTTCTATCCAGCCATGTTAAACCACCTACCCATGTTAACAACCTAGCCTGTAGCTTTCTATATATATTTTCCCTGTTCAAATAACATCATAGGATAAATCATAATTTACCATATTGCTGGGTATGGGTTTTGTTTCCAGAGTTTTGACACCATGATCAATGATGCAATAAAAGCCCTGACATATAGGTCATTATTTATGGCTGTGTTGTCTGTATAGACTTCTAAGAGATGGATTATTGGTTAAAAATAGGCTCTAATGCTTCACAGTTTCAAAGCCATTTAGGAAAGAATGCTTTTCCCATATGCCCTATAAAAAAAGGTACCATGACTCCTTCCTATTTTGGCTAATGTGAAAATCTTAAACTTACTCTGTTATAGGAGTTTTTGGAGAATAACGGTCTAAGATGGGATGTTGAGGGTCAGAGTAAAAGCACTAACCAGCCATTATGAAGCCCTAGTGTGGCAGACACTTCAGAGCTTGATGGGGAATTTGGAGTGAGACCAGGATGGAGTGGGGGTGGAGCAGTCTATGGAAAGGCTATTGTACCTGTGTCTGCTAGTAGCATGGCATCTCTAGGGAGGAAAACGCTGGACATGGTACCAGGGAGAATGGGCTAATTAGAATTGGCTTCCCTTCAGACTGCTTAGTCCTGCACAAATTTCTTCTTTATTATGCTTTAACCTGGAGCCATACAGGAAGGAAATTCTGAAAAGCATAGTTGTAGCTTAGCAAAGTAGATACAAATAGACATGACAAAGCACACAACTGATGCTTCTATAAGTACATAAAATACAAAGATAATATGTATTTATAAACTTCAGTTGAACAACGTTCACTAACTTGTAGTAAGTCATATAGATCTTTCATTATTTCTTTACTGTGGTGTACTATGTTTTTATAATTTTTAGAGGTTATATATTGTCTTCCATTGCAATTGCAATCTTACTAATTTCTTGATTGTCTAATAGTTCCGCTTTTGTATTCAAAGCTATATGGTTTGATGCATAAAATATATGACCATTGTATCTTATTTTTATATTATCCTTTATCTTTACCTAATGTGCCTCTCTAATATTTATCCTCCTAATGTGAAATTCCATCTTGACTGATATTAGTATTGTTAGACTTGCTTACTTTTCAATTTTCATTTACCTGGCATTATTTTGCCCAGCACTTTATTACTTTGCCCTAAATATTTTTATTCCTCTTAAAGTATATATCTTGACTTTAATCAAATATAAATCTGTC